CGTAGAGTGCTGTGGCGTCACAGGTCACAGCAACCCCCAACTCCTGGGTTTAGGCGATTCTCTTACCTCAGCCTCCTGAGTAGCTGGGACTATAGGTGCCGGCCAGAATGCCTGGCTATTTTTTTTTGCAGTTTGGCCAGGGCCAGGTTTGAACCTGCCACCCTCGGTATATGGGGCCAGCGCCCTCCCTTGATGGGAGGCCCATCGAATTTATTTTGGACTACAGTAGATTCCTGAAATTGCTCAGGCTTTGTTTTTCGGCAGAAAATGTAAGTGATACCTCAGTAATACTGCCAGATTTTGTTTGTCTGTAAAGAGTTTTGAGGAGCAGTTGTGAAAACTGTTCCAATGACAAAAATGTGTTCAAGTCGGTCATATTTGGAAATTTAATTTATCACCAAGTGGATTCTGTTTTTATTTTCATTACATAGATTTAGCCATGCATCAAAGTACATGAACCCCAAACATATGAAGGTCAAATCTTTGTGATAGATCTATGGGTAGACACAACAACATGGATGAGTCTCAAAAGGGTGATCTGGAGTTAAAGAGGCCAGACAGAAGAAAATACTATACTGTATGCTTCCATTTATAGAATATTCTTGAAAATGCAAACTAATCTATGGAGACTGAAAACAGATTAGTGGTTGTCTGGGATTTGGGGAGAGGTCAGAGAAGGAAGAAGGAACTGAAAGATGCAAGGACATTTTTGAGATTATGAAAACATTTACCTGGACTGTATTGTGTAATTGTATCAAAAGGTGTATGCATATATCAAAATTCATTACATCATGCACCTTAAATACATGCATTTTATTTTGTGTTGATCATATCTCAATAAAATTTAAAAAATCATTAGCAAGAAAAAGTGTTGGTTTTCACCCATTAAAACAAATGAAAACTCCTTGTTATAATCATGTACTGTCACCATCCGAGGTCGTTCGTTCATTCATTCAGTGTTTTTTGAGCATCCATGGTGTATGCTGAGTGCCAGGCATTCTGCTGGCAACACAGTGTCAAACAAGATAGACAAGGCCCCTGCTCTAGAGACCTTACATTTGGTGGAGGAGACAGATCAACAAGTAATAATAGTAAAGTGTGCCAGGTGGTGGCTCATGCCTATAATCCCAGCATTGTGGGAGGCTGAAGCAGGAGGAGCCCTGGAGTTCAAAACCAGCCTGGGCAACACAGTGAGACCTCATTTTTATTAAAAAAAAAAAAAAAAAAGTTAGCCAAGTGTGGTGATGCTTGTCTGTAGTCCCAGCTACTTGTGCCCAGGACTTTGAGGTTGCAAGGTTGCAGTGAGCTATGATCATACTTCTCCAGCCTGGGTGACAGAGTGAGACCTTGTTATAAATAAATAAAAATAAATAAATAAATAAAATAAATAAAATAAATAGTAAAGTGTGAGAAGTATTATGACAGGGCAAGAAAAAGCAGCTTTAAAAATCCTTAGTTAAGTTATTTAAGCTGATTATTTGGTACCAGATGACTGAAGCTGTGTTGAAAAGTCTTCTTAAAGGCCAGGTATGGTGGCTCACGCCTGTAATCCTAGCATTCTGGGAGGCTAAGGTGGGTGGATTGCCTGAGCTCAGGAGTTCGAGACCAGCCTTAGCAAGAGTGAGACCCTGTCTCTAAAATTAGCTGGGTGTTGTGGTAGGTGTCTGTAGTCCCAGCTACTCAGGAGGCTGAGGCAAGAGGATCACTTGAGCCCAAAAGATGGAGGTTGCTGTGAGCTATGATGCCACAGCACTCTGCCCAGGGCAACAAAGTGAGACTCTCTCTCAAAAAAAAAAAAAAGTGGGGGGTGTTTCAAGGCTTAGCAGGAAAGAGCAGTGTTTGATCTGATATTTCCCGTGCTTGAGGAGAGAAGTTGGCCTTATCATAAACTTCCCAGTATGACTATTTCAAATGATTCTGAAAATGTTTGAGAATAATGAAGATCTCTTGTTGTAGACTAGATTTTTTTTTTTTTTCTAGAGCAGTATTTTAAATGCAAAGTGTTTCTTGTTGGGGCAACATGAAACTTCCAGACTGTAGTGTAGACAAAGGACAAGTGCTCTTTTGTTCTCAAATGTTCTGCTTTCAAGTATGTTTTACCTGCTTATGTGACTGTGTCTGAGCCTTTGCTAAGGGTACTGCGGCTGGATTGTGTAGTGGGACCACATCCAGAAAAAGAATTGCTAAAGAATGCAAGTAAACAGGATGTCAGATGTTATCCTTAGCCTATTTCCCTAAACATAGCTTTTTGGCTGCAAAGTAAAATGCCATGCTTCTTCTAGCTTCTGCTTATACACAGTGATGGCTGACAGCAGGCACAATCTTCATTTGCTTGGCACGTTGTCACCACGCAACTCAACGTGTTTTGCAAGGGATGATCGTGACACATTATCCCTGTGAGACACTATGAGGACATTCGGCGGCCATTTCTTGGAAGAATTTCCTTAGCCTACCTTCTTTGAGCCCTGTCGTGCCAGCACAGCGCCCCATGAGGCTCTGATCTGTCTGACCTAAGAGCCAGTTGGCATCTTCCTCCTAACAGAAGCCAGATTTTCACTGGGGCTAGACAATTTATTGACAGCGTTTTCCCAGACTGGCCCGTGAGTGTCTCATTTCCAAGGTCCCCTGAAGTGCTGGCTCACGTCTGTTTTCCAAGAGCACTTGCTTCCTTCCCTCTCCTCCCCCCCCGGCATCTTCCTCACTTTCTTCCTTTCTAGCTTCTTGCACTGCTTGAGAGAGTGTGTATGTGTGTGTGTGTGTGTGTGTGTGTTTCTTCTTCTTTTGTTTTACCTTAATGAGTTTATTTTGCAGCTCTTGGAAATGAAAACCAGTGTTATCCAGGATTTTAACATTAATTCTTATCCGTTTCCACATCTGTGAGCGTGACCTTTGTGGTTTGAAAAATCCCATATTTTGAGTGGGTTCCACTGTTGTCTGAGAAAAATTGTTTTAAACCTTTGCTCTGCGAGCACAGAAGAGAACTCAGAAAAAGGAAGACAACAGCAGATGCAATCACGGATGTGGCTTAGTCCTTGCAGCTGCCCCAAAGAGCTGTTCACAGTGTACCGTCTTCAGTAATGAATCCAGAAGAGCGAATCGTGACATGGCTTATATCTTTGGGAGTTTTAGATTCCCCCAAAAAGACCATCTGTGATCCGGAGGAGTTTTTGAAGTCCTCGCTGAAGAATGGGGTAGTGCTGTGCAAACTAATCAACAGACTGGTGCCCGGCTCTGTGGAGAAGGTAAGGTGGAGCTGCGTTCTCTCTGGGATTGCTTACCACCAGAGAGCAGCAAGGATGGAACTCTTGAGACTTTCTATTGCCCAGGTCATGGGAATTTCCTACATTAATATCTTTCTAAGGGTCAGACATTCGTACTGTTCTTATAGTTTGAAAAGTCAGAAAATGGAATGTCATCTTTTAGGAATTGGCCCCCAAATATTAGTATAGGGAAAATCTGTTATACCACTGGCAGTAAGGGACAAGAACCCCCACATCGCAAGCTTGCTCCGTCATGGAGATGCGCATTCTATCTCCACGTTTACCCAGGACACTTTCTTAAAATTGGGGTACATAGAAGTCTGTGGAATAATAAGAGGGATTTATTGTAAATCTTGATGGTGCTTATTGGCAGACTGAAATTAATACAGACTTCTTTTTTAAAAAATATCCGTTGAAGGAAGGTCTATTTACCAACTAAGAGAATTCAAAATGTCACATAAAATTTGTTAAAATAACAGAAACCAGATAGAGGTTTCTAATCCAACCTGCATTCAAAGTGAAACTAACTTTACTCTCTTTAAAAAGAAATCCAGGATTTTATTAATGAATGTTGGAGACCCATGATCATGAGAATAGAAAATTTCTAGATACTTTAAGTTTAAAGCTGTAGATCTACAATTATTTTTCTTAAAGTCATCATGGAATGTGAGTGTGAGTAAAGCTCTTTTGTCTTCTTGAACCACTTTCTATTTTTACTGAGCAAGTAGATTTACTTGTAATTTCTTAAACTTGAGAAAGAGTGATAAAATGGTCATAAAATGCAGAGAAATGTGATCAAATGTAGAGAACGCTCAAGGGGAAATACAACTTTTACAAATTACAATAAGGAAAGGGGAGGAAGGTAATAGGTATTGTTTTGTTTTTTTTTCTTGAAAGCAAGAACCTACCTCAAAAAAACTGTCTAAGTCTCTCTAATTTGCTATCAGCACACTGGGACAGAAGGCATGAAAAAAAAAGTTTCTAAGTAGACATGGCTTGGATCTCAGAGTTTGGTGACAATTTGAAACAAAGAGCGACCGTTTGGATTTTTGCATCACTTCCTTTGGTGGTTATTTCTCTTCCTGATTGACAGTAATGTTGCCCCATGCTTTTAAAAAGCCCACTTTCTCTAGCTATCAGCAAATGATGAGTGCAGTTTGCTTGGCATGGGATGACAATCTCCAAGTGACATTTCACTGTTTCTCCAGTATTGCCTGGAGCCCCAGACTGAAGCTGAATGCACCAACAACATTAATGACTTCCTGAAAGCATGTGCAACCCTTCAAGTGGAGGTAAGCCTACCCAGGGTGTCTTGTTCCTGTCATCAGTTTTTGCTCCGTTAATCAAGATTGGTAGCAAAAGGACTTTATTTTCACTGTCTTGGGCCACCAAGTTAAACAAAGGTAGCTTTTTATGGAAACCAGAGTTGAGACTGGTGGTCTCCAGTGGTAGATTGCTAGCCTGTCTTTTCCAGAAATCAGTTCCAAACAAAACAAACCAAAACAAAATCAAAACTCAAAAAACGATACCTTTTATATACAGCATCCAAGCTCTGAAAACAGATGTCCAGCGACAGAGCTTTTGAGAATGTGCTTCCTTACTGAGGGGAAACAAAAGTGGGCCACTGGCTGTTGCACAGGGTTACTGTAATCCCCCTAAGTTGGGAACAGAGTAAAAGCCACTGTCATTCTTTCTCATTCATGCTTCAGAACAGAGGTTTTGAAAAGCTGAGATAAGCTAGTTATTTTTTTTTTTTGAGACAGAGTCTTATTATTTTTCCCTCGGTAGAGTGCTGTGGCATCACAGCTCACAGCAACCTCAAACTCTCAGGCTTAAGTGATTCTCTTGCCTCTGCCTCCCAAGTAGCTGGGACTACAGGCACCCGCCACAATGCCCAGCTATTTTTTGTTGCAGTTGTTTAGCTGGCCCGGGCCGGGTTCAGACCCACCACTCTCGGTGCATTTTGCTGGCACCATAACCACTGTGCTATGGGTACCGAGCTGACAAGCTAGTTCTGAGGTAGAAATTGTATATTAAATTATGTGGCATTAAAGATATTTATTTATTTATTCATTTATTTGTTTATTTTAGAGACAGGGTCTTCTCTGTCCTCAGGCTGGAGTGCAGTGGCTGGATCATAGCTCACTGAAGCCTTGAACTCCTGGGTTGAAGTGATCCTTCCACTTCAGCCTCCTAAGTAACTTGGACTACAGGAGTGTGACACCACACCCAGCTGATTAAAAAAAATTGTAGAGATGGGTTCTTGCTATGTTGCCTAAGCTAGTCTCAAACTCCTGACCTCAAGTGATCCTCCTGCCTTGGCCTCCCAAGTACTGGGATCATAGGCAGGAGCCACCATACCCAGCTGCATTATTTTATGTTAAATGGACTCGTACCATATAATATAGGCATAAGACGTTACTGAAAGAGAGGTGGTATTTCCACCTGTGTGCCAAGTTCTTTAACTGTCTGCCTCAGTGTTTTTATCTATAAAATGGACATAGTAGTAAAAGCTACCTTATGGGGATGTTTTAAGAATTAAATAAGATACCACATAATAATTTAGACTTAAGAGCTCTAACCTCATAAGATCTATGAAATCAAAAAGGCCAGATACAGAAGAATTGCTCTATATTAGTAAATAAGCATTAAGAGCATTATATGCAGACAAGCAATTGAGATTTGAGCATGGACTCTGGTGCTAAACTTCTTAAAAGTTCAAATCTTGGTTCTTTCTCACTAGTAGCTTTATAACTTTGGGCATGGTTACTTAACTATACCTCCAGGCTTCAGTTTATAAAGTGGGAATAGTAGTGGCACTTATCTCATAGGACTGATGTGAGGTATCAGTGAATTCATACATGTAAAGCCCTCAGAAGAGTACCTGCCATGTAGTCAGTAGTCTCCATGGAGTAGCTATTATTATTGTTGTTGTTATCATTAGCTTTACCCCAGATAAACTTCAGTTCTTTCACAATTTTTTCCTCAGGTTCGCCCTAGCAGCAGGTTACACCTATCTCAGAATATCCTATTCCAGTTTTTCCCTATTGCCCAATTTGAGCATGCCCTACCTCTGTTTCTCTGTCTCTCCTTCTGGCTTTGAAGGTAGGTATTGCATGAGACCACTTTATTCTATCCTTTATAGAATAATGTCTACTATGGAACAGATCCTGGTATTTTTTTTTTATTTTTCACATAAAAACTTGGTGAAGTTCCCAATGATTTCTGCACTCTCAGGCTGCCGGAAGGTATACTGAGCTTCTTTGCATTTCTAAGAACACTAGGTAATACAGAAACACCTTGATTTGTCTAAATAATGCTTTCTCCTTTAAGCACCAATGCTTCAAATATTTCTTTCCCCACTGGATAGAAGCCCTCTTGAAATTATATCGTAACTTTCTGTCTTCTTGAATAAAAGGCATTGGATTTTTTATCTCTTTTTGATAATTCAGGCTGACCCAGATATTGTCTGAACATTGTAATGAGGCATCGTGGTTAAGGACATACCTTCTCTAGTTTGATAAGCCTAGGTTAGAGTGCTGGCTTAGTCAGTTACTGACTGCAAGACGCTGGGAAAAGTTACTTGATTTATCTATGCTCCTATTTTCTCATTTGTATAATGGAGACATTAATTACATCCACTGCATGGGGACTGTCTTAAGGATCAGATGAGATAACATGTCTAAGGCACTTAATATGTCTCTGCACATGAGACATGCACAATAGCTTTTTGCTGTTATGTTATTACTAAATAGTGCTCTTTGCATTGTTGTGTGGAAAATTCTGCCTGCAAGGGATATTGAAGCACTCCTAGAACCCTGAGAAAGGAATAATAAAATCTATACCTAAGGAATGAGAGACTGAAAGCTGAGCTGGGAGCACCAAGCAGCCAAGAAGGCTGCCCATCCAGTCTCAAGCTTCCAGGTAGCTAGGAGACGGATCTAATCACAAGTATTTGCAAATGTCACTGCATAGAGTAATCTCTCAGGCCCAAAGTGTCTAGCACAGTGCCTGGCATAGAACATGCCTAATAGATTTTTGCTGACTCTATAAAGCTGTAAATTTATGGGAAGAAAAAAGAGTGGGGCTTGACTGTTGCCCAGAATGAACTGTTATTTATCTAAAGAAGGAATGCCAGCTTAAATGGTCTGCTTGGAAATGCAGAAAAATGGAGCCAGAGATGCAGCACAGAGCACTGATAAGTTGAATACTGGGCTCTGGGGCATGCTGACCACATTACATATAGAGCTGCCATCTTCTGGCCCTCTGGGTGGCCACTGGATCTCCCCAAGTGACCTCAATCTTTGTATTTCTGTATGGTTCTCTAGAGGAGTGCTTCTCAACCTTTCTAATGCTGCGACCCTTTAATACAGTTCCTCATGTTGTGGTGACCCCCAACCATAAAATTATTTTCATTGCTACTTCGTAACTGTGATTTTGCTACTGTTATGAATCGTAATGTAAATATCTGATATGCAGGGTGTATTTAGGCGACCCTTGTGAAAGGGTTGTTCGACCCCCAAAGAGGTCACGACCCATAGGTTGAGAACCGCTGATTTAGATTTTATTTATCCTTTGTCCTTTGTAACAATGAAAATACATCCCACATATCAGATATTTACATTACGATTCATAATAGTAGCAAAATTACAGTTATGAAGTAGTAATGAAAATAATTTTATGGTTGGGGGACACCACAACGTGAGGAACTATATTAAAGGGTTATGGCATTAGGAAGGTTGAGAACCACTGCTCTAGAGGATCACATAGCTAATAATTGACCAGGGAAGTGTGCCAAGACACCTGGGAAACAAAGTGCTCTCTGAGGCAGCTCCCTAACTTTTTTTTTTTTGAGACAGAATCTCACTCTGTTGCTGAGGCTAGAGTGCTGTGGCATCAGCCTAGCTCACAGCAGCCTCAAACTCCTCAGCTCCAGCTATCCTCCTACCACGGCCTTCTGAGTAGCTGGGATTACAGATGCCTGGCATGATGCCCAGCTAATTTTCCTATTTTTAGTAAAAACAGGGTCTTGCTCAGGCTGGTCTCAAATTCTTGACCTCAAGCAATCCTCCCGCCTTTGCCTCCCAGAGTTCTAGGATTACAGGCATGAGCCACACTTGCCTGGCCCATATCTCCCCAACTTTAATAGTGTCCTTTAAAACACAGCAGTGTTTTAAATTATTTTTTTTCACGATTTAGACCACAGGAGTCCAAATTGCGTAAAGTTTAATTTTTTTTTATTAAGTCATATACACATAGATCATGAATACATTTGTGCGTATGTGGGGTACTTTGCACCAGATTATTCATTGCAGCTCAATTTGTAATAGCCAAGTCATGGAAGCAGCCCAGGGGCTCATCAACCCATGAATCGATTAATAAATTCTGGCATATGTATACCATGGAATACTATGCAGCCTTAAAAAAGATGGAGACTTTACCTTTTTTAAATTTTTGATAGAGTCATATTCATCTATTTTTTTTCTTTTGTTGCTTATGCTTTCGGTATCATAGCTAAGAAACCCTTGCCTAATCAAATGTCATGAAGATTTACTCCTGTTTTCTTCTAAGAGTGTTATGGTTTTACCACTTAAGGTATTTGATCCATTTTGAGTCAATTTTTGTATATGGTGGCAGGTAGGGTTCAATTTATTCTTTTGCGTGTATACATTCACTTGTCTCAGCACCATTTGTTGAAAAGACTATTCTTTCCCCCATTGACTTGATTAATGTAGCTCTGTAATGAGTTTTAAAATTAGAAAGTATGTGTCCTCTAATTTTGTTCTTTATTTTTCATATCATTTTGGCCATACTGGATCCCTTGCATGTCCATACATGTCTTTTTCAATTCATTTTATTGCTTTATTTTATTTATTTATTTATTTATTTTTTGGCTGGGGCTGGGTTTTTGAACCCGCCACCTCTGGCATATGGGGCTGGTGCCCTACTCCTCTGAGCCACAAGCGCCGCCCTTGATTTCTTTTATTTACATTTTTTTATTTCAAAATATTAAGGGGGTACAAATGTTTTTGGTTACATAGATCACTTTTATAATGCTTGAGTCACAGGTATAGGTGTGTCCATCACCCAAGTAGAGTTCACTGTACCTAGTAGGTAGTTTTTGCCCCTCCCCTCCCCCCCGTACATTATTTCTACTGAGTTTTACTTTCCTCTGTGCCCAAATTTTAGGATCAACTTATCCATTTCTGCAAAAAAAGGCCTGCTGAGATTTTGATAGGGATTGTGTTCAATCTGTAGATTACGTTGGGGAGTGTTACCATCTTAATAATAT